ACAGTTTTTACACAACAAAATGACAAATGTTACTCTGAGTTATTAAATCAGTGTAATGTAAATGCTGGATAATCTTAAATCGAATTACAATATTGTGATGGATTTCCGGGGGTAATGCACATGCATGTATTTAAACATATTTTTTTCAATTATATTACTAGGATCAATAAACGTACACCGTGGAAATTAACTACTTCGGTTATATACAGCGCCACCACCATAGTTTGATTATATGTCTTCATATTGTTCCGTATAAATATGTAAGCAACGCAACTATTAGTTTAGGTAGCGATTAAAAACTCGAGGATGTGAAAAAAATGTCTCTGATACATTTTACCAGAAAATACGGAATCGCAATTCGCCAACAATCGCATACATTACAGCCATTGGTGAAAAAAATGTGGGCAAGTTTAACTCCGTTCCATCAGATCATCAGATGTTACTGGAAAGAGTTACTTCTTTATAAGCTATAGTTTGAAGCTAATGTTTCAAATTGTCGTTATAACGAGGTTAAAATTTGTATTACTTGTTTAGGGGACTTAGCTTGGGGCATAAAGTCGTTATTAAGAGTTTAGAATTCATTGTTACAAGCTTGAGGTATAATTTGTTTTTATTAATGGCACCATTAAACCACTGTAGTGCGAACTTGATAAAAACAAATTTCTGTTGCATTAGTTTGACGTTTTGCTTTGTAAATTAAAATTTTGTTTTATAAACTGAATTTGTGTTGCGGGAAGTAATTGTGTGATATCAGTGGGCTAATGTACTTATATTTTCAATAAATACATTATACAAATACTTCTGGAACTAATGACCATCGTTGAAAATTACAACACAGTAAATATTAAGGTAATTTATATATACAAAGTTAGTAAAGTCATTAAGCTCAACACACAAGAAACCAGTTATACTTACTGTATATTCTAATAAATTCCACTTTGTCACACCCTAGAACAAACGCCGTTATCCATTCTTAAAATAAATACAAGTCTACATACACACATGTAGCACATAACAAGAATAATGTAACATCCCGCATATTTAAGCCTATTACACAATTTTAATCGACACATATATAGTTCCTGTCGTGTTGCTAACTGATTTACAATACTATGACAGGCACAATGCAGAGCGGCGTAACACGTCATCGGTCAATGACCACAAGTCACTCACATGATTACGTGACCATCGTTTATCAGAACTCGTGGGAAAGGCCTTGGAGCGTCGAGACACATAACGCAGATGACTATATGAGTATAATAAACGGCATAATATACGCGGCAAATATTTGGGCCAATAATAATAAGTGGCCCCCTATAACAACTGGAGTAAGCAGTGTGCTTACATTCTCCCTATTGTTTCATCGTAGCAATAAACTAAAAATAAATCCATTACCCAAATTCATATTTAAATTATTTACATTGCAAGGCCATAGGAAGCAAAAATTAGTTGGTCCGGCCACCCATCCAGTGCCGTAGGCCCGAGGCATTTGATGACGTGGGCCGAAGGACCATGTCTGCTAGGGGGGTGCAGAAGTGGTCCGGCCATAGCCGGTATGGCCGGTACGGTTCCTACGACTTTACATTGCCATGTATTTACCGGACCAGTCCTTGTGATGGTGCTATGACTGTCAAACTAACAAACTCCAGGCCACTATTTCAGAGTAGTGGACCAACAAAATAGCACAGTAAAACTCAAAGTCTAGACACAATAATTATTTAATAGGTTTTCGTCTTATACAGTATGTCCGACACATCCATTGTTTATAGAAATGCATATCACGAGGTCAACTCTCTTTAACGATCGCTTACAATTCTGAGCACTGGTACACTGACATTTAAATTACAGTTTTATGTTTTCTAAAGAATTTGGGTAGTGACCTTTACGCGTGACGTAGGCCTCATACTGGGCAGTATTTATACACAAGGGCCGGGCAAACTCATCGATCGTGAGTTGAGGTAAGTTCTCAGTCAGCACTTCGCGCAATATACATTACTGTACTGTCTTGACATACTTTGCATTGGTGGGAAAGCCAATTGGACATTTATAATACACTCGAAATGTGACGTATTTGTCACGTGAGTGTGTCAATAAGTGAAGCGTCATTGGTATTTCAAGCAAGCAGTGCATCAAGACACACGTTTCAAACTTCGCCTTACTGTCATTTTACAGTTAGGGGGTGGATTTTGTAGTTCTAATAGTTGTCACTGACTGAGTTTGTCGAAACCCTCCTGTTATAGTTTGAATACAGTATGGATTTTATTTTGCTTTGTTTTTATCGACTGGACTGAGCCTGAAAGTAAATCTTTGGCTTTTTGACCTTTGACCGGAATGCAAGTTAACGTCGATGTTAAAAGAACAATCATACAACCAGTCTAACATTATTGACTATTAAAGGGAACTTTTTAAATAATTACTATGATAATTAACCAAACCTGCACAGTTTGCAAACAGACTATATTTCACAATTACGCCATACAATACACTGATTGTAAACAATATTTTTTTAGATATTGATTGCTCATAAAAATAGTTTGCATCTGCTGTAACGTTTACACGTCTGCCTGGAATACAATTAGCGAAACAATATAGAACAGAAATGTACACAATAGATGCTATTTCACGAAATCGCCACTAAGAGAATGAATTGTTTTACGTTGACTAAAGTAGGCGAGTTCTTACTGTAAGTACTTTATTTTGCTGGAATTAATTTTCGCTGAAAAGGCTTTTGGGGTGTTTTGTGTGGAATTTATTTTCACTGATTTTTGGTGAGTTGAATGTTAAATATAGGAAAAAAGGTATAGTCGATGGACCTTATTTTAACTGAATCACTCCTTCAACGAAAATATCGAAAATTAATTCCAAAAAAGTCTTTTACAGTATTCATGTAATATAGTATTTATATTATGCAGATCAACGATATTAGAGTCATTGGGTTAAACGATTATTATAATGGATCCAAAAGTTCCACTAAATGAGACGTTGGAGGTTCGGAACATTATCAACAAATTGCAGCTGATCCCGCATACAGAAGGGGGATATTTCAAAGAAACTTACAGATCTGGTTCAGAGCCGATGGCATCACATGGTCTAACTGACGTTAGTGGCGCTTTGATGAAGCCTGGTGGACGCAGATACTCCGTTCGTAATGTCAGCACATCTATAATGTACCTACTGACCAAGAATTCCCCGATAGATTTCTTGCATCGAGATGAATCCGACATCGTGAGGTATTATCATGGCGGTGGAACGATTCTGGTTCACACAGTGTCACCCGATGGAAAACTTCATCAACATAGGCTGGGGATCAACCTTGAAGCGGGAGAAGTTCCACAGTTGGTGACGCCCAGTGGGTACTGGGAAGCTTTGGAGCTAGTTAATGGCGACTGGGCTCTACAGGGGGAATCAGTGGCCCCAGGCTTCGACTATCGTGATATGGTTTTAGGGACCAAGGAAACAATTTCACATTTTTCAGAAGATATTAGAGACGTTTTACAAAGGTACATTCACTAAATGCCGAGTATTCATATTAAAGCGGGGGAGTCGCCACCTGCGCATGCATCAGATGGCCATAGCGTGTCATTGTTTACAAACAAGCGTCTACCCATAAGCATTTGCGTTTTTAGCGTGTGTTGTTATCGTCAATTGGGACTCAAGTTTTAACGTTGAGTCCAATGACAGAGACACATTTCAACAACAGTTTCAAGTACATTACATTCATGTTATTAATTAAAACATATATTGTATACATCAATAGTACTTAATACTAATTTCAAGAAATCAAAACAAATTATACTGCTTATATATAAGTTCAGTCAATAATTTTATATTGTATTATAATAATTATTATTATAATTATTGTAATTACTCAATATGTCTGAGCATTGAGATAACAAAGTCGAAAACATAAAATACTATAATTGTGTTTACTATAAAGGAAGCTGAATACTGGTTATTTTATTCTGATCTCATTATAAACCTATTACAGGAATTTTAACATATACTGTACGGAACATATGGTTTACAGGCCCTGATAACAATGTAATAAAATGATAATAAAGTATATTCAGTGTTACATTTGACCATTTGTAACTGGTTGGTGTACGAGAGTGGGGTAGCAGGTCAGGGTGTCACGTGACCAGTGGTAGAATCTTAAAGGGCGAGGGCCGTGCAGCAGCGCGTGTTCGGATTTCATGTAAATAAATAATATATATTACACGCGTTGTATACGTCGCTATGAGTCCCATTTCGGTCAATTTCATTAAAATTGGCAAAGCGTTTCTTTCTCTCCGTTTGCACGAATTCTTCGGTTTCTGCAAGAAAATCTTGCTCTGAAAGCTCCCGAACATGATACTCGGCCAAAAAATTGAAGGTTGTACAATTTTTTTTATTTAACCACTGCCAAAATAAAATATGTATATAATATCTTCATGCTATCAATATTACACCAAAATCCCTAAAATTTAAATGCCCTTCCCTTTATTTGTTTACGAATTGAACTTGTATTCATATTCAGGGGCCTTATTTGGAACACCATAACTGTGCATTATGCTCTATTTAACTATGGCTTGCATAAATTTAAACAACCAACCCAACCAATCACAATGATGCATTGATGGCAGTGATACACTGGTATAATATAATCAGTATTACTGTGTGGATTCAGTGTCACAGTGTGGATTCACTATTACTGTGTGGATTCAGTGTCACAGTGTGGATTCACTATTACTGTGTGGATTCACTATTACAGTATGGATTCACTATCACAGTCTGGATTCACTATTACAGTGTGGATTCACTATTACAGTCTGGATTCACTATTACAGTCTGGATTCACTATTACAGTGTGGATTCACTATTACAGTATGGATTCACTATTACAGTATGGATTCACTATTACAGTGTAGATTCACTATTACAGTATGGATTCACTATTACAGTATGGATTCAATGTCACAGTATGGATTCACTATTACAGTGTGGATTCACTATTACAGTATGGATTCACTATTACAGTGTGGATTCACTATTACAGTAGGATTTCACTATTACAGTAGGATTTCACTATTACAGTATGGATTCACTATTACAGTATGGATTCACTATTACAGTATGGATTCACTATTGCAGTGTGGATTCAATGTCACAGTATGGATTCACTATTACAGTATGGATTAACTATTACGGTATGGATCCACTATTACAGTGTGGATTAACTATTACAGTGTGGATCCACTATTACAGTTTGGATTTAATATAACAGTATGGATTCACGTTTCCGTAGAGATAAACAACTTGTTGAAATAGAAATAACAGACTTACTGGCAAGGCATAGAACTCCAAAAAATAAACCTAAACCTCAACACGCACTCTCAGTATCGGTTCAGTCATGTCAGTAGCATTGTCAAGGTTAAGCACCGCCCACGCACAAGCAATTGCCGATGCAGCGACAGCAGCAGAAGAGGCTGAGTACGAGATAACCATAGCCAAACAGCAGCGATGAAAGCCAGTTTCAAAGCCAATTTGAAAATACTAGAGGCAAAGAAAATGCAGCAGTCACACAGGCAAGAAGCATTTCAGAAAGTAGAGGAAGAAGGTGCAACACAACAGATGTTCACATTACCTCAGGAGACATCCAATGATCATGCTTTACGTTTTCGTACACATAACGAACATAACCTCAAACAACAAGCTTCACCAAATTTCCTAGAACAACCAAGACTTCCACCACCAACTACACTTACTCGGTATGATACAATTTTTCCACTCCAAACCACAAAGCAGCCATGAGATGCAAGTATGGTACAGAATAACACATCACAACAGCAATTCAGACCAGCAGGAGAAAATGCCGCACACCTTCCCAGTGAGTACATCAAAACATAAATAGTGTATGGTGGTGATCCTATCATATTTCTGCCATGGCGAAGAACCTTCTATGGTCCAGACGGCATGTGTGCCAACAACTGAGAAATTGTCCTTTCTCAGTAAATACACCAATAAACCTAAGATCTTAGTGGACAGATTTAGACTGCGGTATGTAAAGAATATCGAAACTGCCTACCAGGAGGCATGGAAAGAATTAGAAAACAGGTTTGGAAACCCTGCAATGATCACAGCTGTGATCATAAAGAAGCTGATTTCATTCCTCTGATTTCGTCCAGATGACAACCAGAGGCTCGTAGAGTTGGCTGACCCACTGGCACACATGGAAGAACTTGCTGATCTCAGCACATTGAACACACCACATGTTCTGAACCCCATAGTTGAAAAACTACTAGCGTTCATCCTGTCCTGTTACAAGCAAAACAATGGGACATTCCCACCACTTTGTTTCTTTGCAGAATTTCTTACAGCTAGGACACAGAACGACCCTGATATACCTTAGTTTGCTAACTCAATCGCTACATCTGATAAGGCTAGATCGAACCAACAAGCGGAAAAAAGTGCTTGGGTCCATGCTATGAAAACGATAGACACCAAGGAGCAGTGTGATTACCATGAGACATCTAAGCATGGCCTGACAGAATTCAAAGCATTTACAAAGCTACCAATAGCAGACAGAATAGATCTGTGTAAGAATAAAGGGCTGTGCTTCAAATGCACACGCAAACTCCTGGCCAGAGACTTTGACATAGATGTGAAGTGCTCAGTCTGCAACAGTACCAAACAATTCTCATGTCTACACACCACACCTGGTGTGACAACCAGGCCAAAGGAACAGAAAACAGAGAAACACCAAAGAATGAAACAAGTCAGGAGGCCACATCAAAGTGTACTAAGCTCAACAAGTGTCCAGGTGCACGCCCATGTGGTAAGATAGTTCCTGCTAAAGTGTACATGCAACACGATCCAGTGAACATCATAGAAATGTATGTCGTCTTGGACGACCAGTCCAATGCCTGCATGGAAGACACTGTATGGACAGTAACTGGCGACCTGTGCTTTGAAGCAGTTAGAGGTACAGTTAGAGCATTTGTATGTCACACAAAAATAAGTCTGAAACATAACCCAGTAGGCTGGACAGCTATAAAGAACCCACTTAAATGTGACAATCACATTCGCATCAGAGAACACATAACACATGACGCAGCCAGTGGAGAAGATGTATTTCAAGAAACACCAGATGATGAGAAGAAAGCTCACTCTATAGAAGACAAGCGCTTCTTGGACATCATGAAAAATTGCACCTACATCAACAGAAAGGGCAACTTCGAACTCCCCCTACCATTTAGATACGACCCAAGGAGACAACTACCAGACAACAATGAGTCGCTTCAAAAATCTTCTGAAGCAGCTAGAACGAAAACCAGAGATGATGGAACAATACCTACAATTCATGGAGAAGGTAATAGAACGTCAACATGCCAGTCTTGCTCCTGATTCAGAATTAGCTTCTGACAACGCTTGGCATTTACCTCACTTAGGGGAATACCGCCCTAGGAAAGCACAGATCAGAGTAGTGTTTGACTCAAGTGCAAGGTGTAATGGAACTTCCCTGAACGATGCATTGCTTCAAGGCCAGATGAACAGTCTCATTGGTGTCTTGCTGAGGTTTAGATGTCACCCTATAGCAGTTATGGATGACCAGAACACCAGATGATGAGAAGAAAGCTCACTCAATAGAAGACAAGCGCTTCTTGGACATCATGAAAAATGGCACCCACATCAACAGAAAGGGCAACTTCGAACTCCCCCTACCATTTAGATACGACCCAAGGAGACAACTACCAGACAACAATGAGTCGCTTCAAAAATCTTCTGAAGCAGCTAGAACGAAAACCAGAGATGATGGAACAATACCTACAATTCATGGAGAAGGTAATAGAATGTCAACATGCCAGTCTTGCTCCTGATTCAGAATTAGCTTCTGACAACGCTTGGCATTTACCTCACTTTGGGGAATACCGCCCTAGGAAAGCACAGATCAGAGTAGTGTTTGACTCCAGTGCAAGGTGTAATGGAACTTCCCTGAACGATGCATTGCTTCAAGGCCAGATGAACAGTCTCATTGGTGTCTTGCTGAGGTTTAGATGTCACCCTATAGCAGTTATGGATGGCATAGAACTGATGTTTCATAGTTTCCATATCAATGAGGAACACAGAAACTATCTATCTTTCTTTTGGTTCCAAGAAAACAATCCAGAGAAACCTGTGATTCAGTACCGGATGAATGTTCATGTGTTTGGGAACGTTTCATCACCAGTCATTGCAACATACGGTCTAAGAATGATAGCAGAAGTATATTATACAACGTATGGAGAAGATATTCGGGAATTTGTATGTTCAGACTTCTATGTAGATGGCGGACTTACCTCCCAGTCAGATACAGAAGTAGCTGTCAGTCTCAACAGGATAACACGAGAGATGTTGTCTACTAGGAATATAAACTTCAACAACAAAGAAGTCATGAACTCTGTACCCAGTGATATACATGCCAAAGATCTACAATGCCTGGATCTTAACCAAGACACGCTACCCACACAAAGATCCTTAGGTATCCAGTGGTCCCTACACTCAGACACTTTCACGTATAAAGTTAACTTACAAGCGAAGCCATTTTCAGGGCAGGGATTTCTAGCTATCGTGAACTCCATTTATGATCCCTTAAGCATCTTGGCTCCAGTCACAATAGAGGGAAAGCTGATTCTATGTGGACTAATAACAGAAACTTCTAAAGTAAAGGAAGACACACATGTAGGATGGGATGACCCACCATCAGAAGAATACCTACCACGGTGGAAATGCTGGCAAGACAGTCTGGTCCACCTTGAGAATGTAAATATACCTTGCTGCATTTTGACCAGTAAAGAGAAGGGAATATCACATCTTTTGTGATGCCAGTGATGTAGCTATTGGAGCAGTTGCATACTTGAGACAGATAAGTGATAAAGATGAGGTAAACGTAGCATTCCTCCTAGGAAAGGCAAAAGTGAACCCAACCAATGCAGTATCTATACCTTGTCTAGAACTTTGTGCAGCTGTACTAGCCACTTAGCAGACAAGATCAAAGCAGAAATCAGAAGTCCCACAAACAGTACAGTCTACTACACAGACAGTACTATAATCCTGGGATACCTAAATAATGAAGCTAGGCGATTCCATGTATATGTGGCCAACTGCATCCAGAAAATCCACAATTGTCCTCACCAGACCAGTAGTGTCATATACCCACAAGCCGGAAACCGGCTGACCTAGCGACACGCTCAGTCCTAGCCCACAAACTTAGTAACACCATGTGGCTCAAAGGCTCGCAACTCATCTGGCAGCCAGACAACACACCTGAAACAAACAACAGTCAACAGACTTATGAAGATCCGGAAGTGCGCAATAAACATTGTGTGTTTGCAGCAGACATAAAAAACACACACCAAGTCCAAATAACCCATCCGGCCAACTAGGCTCTAAAAGGTTCCTAAGTTTCTCATCATGGACCTCCCTCAGACGAGCAGTAGCAAACCTCATACTGAAGATGCAGTCCTACTAGACTAATTGTGAAGAACGAAGGACTTACACCCAAGATCCTGGAACGTGCAGAGAATCACACTTCGCACAGTATGAATCGACTGAATACATTTATGGATGAAGATCCACTACTCCGTGTCGGTGGAAGGATTCGCAGAGCAGATCCAGTTGCCATCCAATAGTACTGCCGAAGAGCAATCACATCTCACAACTCATCGTAGAACATGTGCACCAAGAAACACCAAGGTCGGCATCTCACACTGGCTGCAGTAAGAGCGAAAGGCTACTGGATACTTGGTTTGCACAACCTAGTAAGCAGCATATTACACAAACGCACAACATGTAGAAGACTACGAGCAAAACCGTTGACTCAAGTAATGGCAGACCTACCTGCAGACAGAATGGCTAACACCCCACCTTTCACTAACGTTGGTATGGACGTCTTTGGTCCGTGGAACATAGTATCTAGAAGGACCAGAGGTGGAGCATCAGGAGTTAAGCGATGGGCAGTTATCTTTGTCTGCCTATACACGACAGCAATACACATAGAACTAATTGATTCAATGGACACTTCTGCATTTATAAACGCTCTTCGTCGTTTCATGGCCATTCACGTTACTGTTAAGAGGCTGTGGTGTTATCAAGGTATGAATTTCATAGGTGCAAAGAATGAGCTCAATGCCGCCATCAAGGAACTGAACCAGAAGTTCCTTACATACCACCCACCCACCCATGAACCCACCCTATGTTTCACATTTTGGAGGCATCTGAGAGTGGCAGATTGGCACAGTGAGAGGTATTGCCACGTTTGCAAGTTCACAATTGTTACACCAAAAAACATAACTATACAAAGGAGTTGTATGATAACGCATCGAACGGCGTTATTTTTACTGTGGCTCAACAAAGACATTTTTTATATTCCTCTGGTTTATTGGGGTGACCTTTTTTTCAGTTCCAAGATGGCTAGTGTGGTTTTGCTGCCCGAGTTTTCGCGAAATTTTCTAATGGCGGCTATAAACGGCCGAAGCTAACAAAGTGTGTGTCTGATATTAACATTCAAGGGCGAGTTATTGTGACATAAACAAATTCCGTACTTCATATATAATGGAATAACGCATCTTGTAAAATGTGCGTGTCATTTTAACATGAAATGAATCTCACTCAGCGCTAGGCCTCTTTCATTTTCTTGCGATTTTAGTGTAAATTGTAATCATTTGATCCAGTGTATTACACAAAATTATCCGATTGTCATATTAATTAAATACTGTTTACATATTGAGACTGTTGATTAAATATAATTGTAAACTTTTGTTCTTTTTCACAGGTGTGTGCTTTTTGGATGACTGGCTGTTATCGTTACTAAACAAAATTCTCGTTATACCAAATTGGTTCGCGTCTCTCTTTACGAAACTTCCTATTCTCTGAACTGTTATTTTCTATCATTGAACCTGTACGTATAGTTTCCTATCATTAAACCTGTACATATATCTTTTGGCTGTCGCAATGTGTTTTCTTGTCATGGATTCATCCAGGGTCAGGTATCCCTGTTCTTTGAACATGAAAAGTTACATGTAAAACCCAAACAAGTTTTTATTCTCCTAAATGCATATATCGGAAGTCGTTCTTAGCTAAACATGAATGCCCTGCATAGTGCAGTTACCAGAGATGCAGATCTATTTCACATTAGTGGAAAGGATCCTATCAGATGTTATTTATTGCGAGTGGACGAGACATTTTTTTGCTGGATACGGCAAGGCATTTATTGAACATGTGGCATACATGTATTTCCTACCTGAATTTTGTTTCCCGGACGCTGCCTCGACTCCAGAAATGAGCTGTTTGTTTTTCCCTACATAGATTAGATTACTGGATGAACACATAAACAGGAGATAAGCGTAGATGTTTACTGTCTCTGTACAATGAACGTTCGATTGTAGTTGCTGCTCAAGTTGTTGAATAATCAGTCAAATTAGAAAACTAAGCTCTGCCCTTGCCCTTGGCCGTGGGCAAGAAAACTCGGTCTTCCTTTACTATGCTTCATTTATTTTTGGTACTAAAAAATTTAAAACCAGCACCTTATACATGTATCGAAATCAGGTTGAGCTTCATAAAAATTGTTTTAAATCATCAGAAACACAATGAAAATTAAGATATATATTTTCTATAAAACTATATATTTTCGGAAAGCTTATTGTATGAATTTTAAAATTTTTTTAGTATTTTTTTATGGACACTGTAGTTTGAAATATGCACAAAAATGTGCTTTTTTGGTCAAAAGTGATTTAGAAATTAGAAATTAGCTTCTAAACCATGCTTCTGTTTTCTGTCAAAATTGGTATGGGTACTATGAAGAAAGTGCTGTCTTGAAAACTGTCTACCAAGTTGTTAATTTTGCAAGGCAGCAAAGCTCAAATTTCACTACGTCATG